GTAATTTTATGTGCTGTAATTGGGTTTTCTCGTATCTAATTGTAACTTTTTTCTTCTCCTCTTTCACCATCATCTTTTGTCTCCTGAGCGTCTCAGATAAACCTGTAAAACACAATTTTAAAATTGGATTGAAAGATAGGCGGTGATGCAATTGCCTTTGTTGTCTGTAAAAAATTTAAAACAATTGAAAGACTTTTTTTTTGTAACAAAGGACCGTTAGACTACACTCTTCAAAACGACTGTATGCATACTTTATTTGCTTTTAAACTTGACTATGAGTCATTTGAATATGCTCGTTTCTTTTCTGGAAAATGCAGTTAAAGTAATAGAATTTGAAAAATTAAATACTTTTGTTAGTGACGTATTACGTCAATTTGTAATACAGATATAAATTTTCAATGACGTATTGGTATCATTTTAAAATTTTGTATTGCAGTTTTGTTCATTAAATGTTCGAAATTCGTTCAGTCTCAGACACCAATTAAAGAGACATTACTACTCTCACCATAAAATGAAGTGTATATATCATATTCAAAATAACTTTATACTTTTACATTAAAGTATTGTTCCCTTGACTGTTTGAAATTCGTTCAGTCCTAGTCATTAATCAAATAGCCATTATCACTTCCACCAAGTACATTAATTTTATATAATATTCAAAATCCAAGTTCTGGTCAGTTTAGTTAGATCTTTTCATCGAGCGTTCGTTAAATCATTTCAAAACCACTAAAATATTTCTATGCCCGGTACATTAAGACGTCCACATTTTAGCATTGGTTTTGAAAATTTATCTCAAATTTACATACAAACTTATTTGAAAATCCGTACTGTAACTATATAGTCATATCACGTCTTATGATGTGGTAACTCGTACATTTTTCTAATAACTTTATTGACCCTCGTGGGGATGGTGTGGGGGGGGGGGGGTTGTATGGGAACAACCGGCTAACATAGGACCGGACCTAACGTATGTATAGTTTGTTTCTGATACAAGTTAATGTTACATAGTATTTCCCTGTGCCCTTTAAATATTGGTAGTGACCTCCACCTTTCAAACATGGCTTTATCTATTGTAATATGAATTCTTGATTCCCACAAATGTAAACGGTCCGTTTGCTTCCATGCTAATTATTTGCTCTATTTTTTAATGGGTTTGGTTTATCAATCTGCATATAAGGTTTACCCATTGGCTGTTTTCTGAATGATATGCTAGTAAATCGTTTCGTGTAATGAAATGAAAATAAAAACCCAAATTTTAAACAACCCGATATTTATCTCAGAATAACGAATTATAGTTTTTATTTTAGCAATATTGAAACGTCGTAGAGATTTTGCCAAGTCACCAGCAAAGAGTCCTAGAAAGTGTTTGGTATGTCTAAATAATGATATAGAATGAACAATTCACGAATTTATTTAATTAAATTTTCCTTTCAGAAGATTGTATATGCCATGTTCACAAGCTCTAATTAATAAATACAATTTGCAATTTAAAATTTCGAAATTTTGCTAGATTCTAATGTATAACCTTTAAAGTTTAAATGTAATGAAGAATGAAATTCTGAATGTAGATTGGACCTTTGTAGAATTCTTCATTATGCCACAATTATTAAAGCCGCAAAGCCGAAAAACAAATCTGGCAAGAACTTTTTGTTAAAGCTTCTATTTTATAAACACGAGAATATCCGAAGTCAAGAATATTAGTAGGTCTCTGAATGACTTTTACCGAGGCTATGATCGCCAGCATCTTGTGTCTTATTGAGCTTAAATGTAGTTGTCTCCCTTAATGCGTTTAAGGGGTCGGTTTATAACAAAAGTATTTCCTGAGCACACGAATAGTTAGAATTCACATTAGAGAATAGATTGATTATCATTTGAGAAATTATTCGTGTATTATCCAGATGTATCATTAAAAATAAAAAGTGAAATATTTGAAATATTAATCTTGAAAGTTACATTAATTAAGAAAATTTCCTTACAAGTGACTGACCATTCCACGGTATACATTAATTGGACATTCAGAAATATAATATCTTTTAAAACGTTCAAATATTAAAAGTCATATCAACATACAATTGAATATGAAGCCGCCATTATATCACTATGTATTGACAATCAATGGTGAGTAAGTCAGCCAGGTAAAATAGATTTACTTCCCCTGATACATCTCGCGCAATATCTCGAGATATTGATATGAAAAAAATGGGGTGAATAATAATATGTTAAATATTATGATGAATAAAATTGTAAGTATTCTATTTAACAAGCTAATTTCTTCTTAAATGTGTAGTCATTTGGTAAACGAATTGTGGAATGGACAATTTATACACTAAAGAAAATATACCCTAAAAACTGACAAAATGTACGCTGACAGCGAACTAACAGAATTAAGGGAAGGATTTTTAAAACTGTATATCCTCTGATTTTGAACTGTGTGCATCTCTTGAACACGTGATATTCAATTATTAAATATAATTTAACACAAAACAATATTTATTATTTATTTATTATGTTTAACAACACAAGATAATCATTGTTGAAACGAAGCTTGTAATAAACTCCAATAATTGTATTCCATAGAATCGCTAGTGTTTTATTGCAATTACAAAATAAGTAAAGTTGTGATTTTGTAAAACAGAGGGGGGTTGGATGGCCGAATGGTTAGCGCGTGCGCGTTGTATCATAAGATCTGTCATTGAGTCAACTAACGTGATCTCGATTTCCTGGCCCCGAGTTCACAAAGCATTCTCAGACTTAAGTTAAGAATTTGTGAGAAATATCATTGATCCAGAAACACAAAACTTTGCACATGGTTTCTTATTGGTGTATTTGATACATTTTATAAAGGGGCTATATTTTAGTTAAAATGAGGCGAATAATTTTGAGTAAATTCTTAACTTAAGTCTGAGAATGCAATGTGAACTTGGGGCCCGGTTGTACGTGACAAGGAGTAGGGTCGTCTGTCCAACCTCGTGGGTTTTTTCCGAGTCCTCCGGTTTCCTTCCACCGCTAAAGACCCTTATTGAAATAAAATTGAACCATGTGTTAGTCCCGAAATGATCGACAATTTCACCATATTGTCTATTACTAATTTATTACTGCTTTTCAATTTGAAATTTAAGCCATTAAGTTTCATTGTATTAAAGGAACCCGATTTTCAGAATGGTTTTCGCCTTGTAAAACACTTTATAACAACATTAACTCATACATTTTCTAACACAATTTTTTTCCTTTTATCTAAGTAACAACAGAAAGAGATTGTTAACCATCATTAACATGTTGATAATTCTAAAGAATCGAGAAAAAATAAACCGAAAACCAGATAGTTGATCATAACCGTAAACCTGTGTATTTATTCATTTTTAAAAATTTAAAAGAAAATAGAAAGAAAGTCCACTGCGTCCAAGAAAAAAAATAGAGCAATTGTCGTGATTTGTGTACCAGAGACCAATCGCAGATATTCTCGACGATTGAACTCCACTCATAAAGAGAGTTATTCCCCTTACCACGTAAATCAGAAACCATACAAGTGTGCATCTTGTAAACCATCATTTAAAGACTAAACAAATTATTATACCATCATCCCTAACTGAAAAGAGCCATAATCGGTTCTCTTTTATTTGGTTGTTGCACAGTTCTAAAAATATATTCATTTTGAGATTTATTTCTATAATAGACTATTAAGCTAAATTATTGTTAAATTATATAAAAAACACAACATCCAATCTTTGAATAAAGTTCAAACAGGTTTCAAAGAAGAGGTTTCAGTGTGGTAATACAAAATTACTGAATTTTACAAGCCATGTTTTTTAAATTAGTTTGCAACCAAGTAACATTTCTTTAGAGTTAGAGAGAGAGAGAGAGAGATGGGGGAGAGAGAGACGAGGTTTATCGTCCACTCGACACAAACTAGGTCATTTCAGGACTAACACAGGGTTCAATTTTATTTTAATATTTCAACAGGGGTCTTTATTAGCAGTGGGAGAAAACCGGATGAACGGAGAAAACCTACGAGGTTGAACAGGCGACCCTACTCCTTGCCACGTACAAACGGGCAATCGAAACCACGCCAGTTGACTCACTGGCAGAATTTATGATGCAGTGCGCACACGCGCTAACCATCGGCTATCTACCCCCCCCCCCCACACACACACACACACACCTACAGTTAGTGACATTGTCGTGAAGTAAATTATGGGCGTTATTCGAGATTATGGGAAATAATGGATTTAGTATGATAAAAGGCTGATGAATGACAAGAAATTATTCCGACTTACATAGACTCATTGCAACTAACATTGGATTCGCATAAATCTACTTGCAGACAATAATATCCATACCCCATTTAAAAGGATGAGCAAAATTTTCTTTCAAATTATAATCAAGAAAATAATTCCATACTTGTAGCAATATCAAGACTAATGAACAAAATATTAAAGAACTATAACACAGACAGAAATCTGGGCATAAAAGCCATTATAAGGCTAAAAGTCTACTTCAAATTTTTTGACAAAGAGAAGAAAGATCTTAATATTCACTAAATCTATCTCAAAGGAATCAAGATGCTTAACATAATTTATTAACGAGGATGGCACATTATTTTTATGGTTTGTTTTCTGTGTGAGTCATATCATATAATGTGTGTTATGGCTTTCCTCTATCCTCAATCATATGAAAGATTGTCCAAGAAAATAGGAATTTTAGCTCAAAAAAATTAGGTCGCTACCAACAATGACATTCAGTGAAGAAACTACTTTATGCCGAAAAGATTATCTTATTTTACCCAGTCCTCTCTATCATCCATCAAAACTGCAAAAAGAAAACAAAATTTTAAAAAAGAAACAAAAGAATAAGTCAAAAATCAAATCAAATGTATATGTTATACCAACAGAAAATTAATTGAAAAAAATATTTTGTCATGCTTATAATTTACTATTCCCAATTGCTTTTTTTTGTACTTTTCATTTGAATAATTAAACAAAATGTTTATATTTTGCTTTCAGAAAAACTCAAGAAATATGTTAGACTGACACGTTTCCTAACAAAATTACTCTTCTTGTATGTATAATTAAAATATTAATAAAATATACAATATTAATACTTTTCTGTTAAAATTATCCTTTTAATTCTTACTTGTCATGACACTTTTCCCATCTTCACTTACAATGTACTTGTTCATTCAAATTCCATTCTCTAGAGGATGGCATACTGCCATAGCATTTAATAAACCCCAATTATGCATACTTTAAATAGTTAGAAATGTAATTTTCTGAAAATTCTTAGTTAATTCTGAGAATTATTTTGAGTTTCTATTATGGAAATATTTCATAGTTAAGAAATATATTATGATTGATATGTATATCAAGTATCAAGTATCAAATAAAACACAAACCAAAAACATTTAACCCCAAAGAAACAGTTTTGTACATTATATATTACCAATAAATCCATCAATTTGAATTTTAAAGATTATTAAAATTATGGATTTAATTTGTCTGGCATAATTTCTTGCATTACAATTACACCTTGATTAAACAAGTGTATTTCATTGTAGTACATCCATACTGTGCACATTGTAAAAACAGAGAAAACCAAACAAAGTATGTTCTCTGGATAGGATCGAACGGGTGCTTAAAGTCACGGCAAAACAACATTTCAGTCATTTCATTTTGGCATTGGAGTTTATTCTATGGGTACGTGTGTAGTGTTAGCTTAAAGTCACGGCAAAACAACATTTCAGTCATTTCATTTTGGCATTGGAGTTTATTCTATGGGTACGTGTGTAGTGTTAGCGGGAAGATTGTATTCCAACAGTTTGGGGTTCTGTTACGTATACGCCAATGTGATCTCGTGTTTTCATCCCATCTAAAATAGTAAGCAGAGCTTTACAGTTTTGTCCAGTCACCCTGGAGGTTATTAAAATGTTGGACTTAAACAATTACAAGGTTTTTCTCAAACGAGCAAAGAATTTATGTATATACGCAGTGTCTCACTAGTCCCTTCTTAGGAATGACCTGTAAGAGAACCTGATAAAATGCCAATTTGGTCTTTGAAGAATATTTGCAACTAGGCAGGTTTCACAAAGCATTCACAGACTTAAGTTAATAATTTACTCAACTTTCAATCATTGTTTATGAAAAATATCTTTGATCAAGAAACACACAAATTTGCACAGTTTCTTACTTATGTATTTGATATATTAAAACAACAAAAGTTTTATAAAGCTCTATATTTTAGGTCAAATAAGGCGAACAAGTTTGAGTAAATTCTTAATCCAAGTCTAAGAATACTTTGTGAACTCGGGGCCTGATCTAACGTCATAAAATATGGACATTATGTTCCAAATTCGTGGACATTATGTTCCAAATTCTATAATAGACATAAAGAAACTACCCCTTATTCAGCTCGTGACAATTCATGTTGGCAACACAATTCATATGGAGCTTGTTCATTTTGTTCTCTTAAATACTATATCAAGTTTTCAAGAATTCATCAGCATGCATCACTAATAAAAGCAATATCCAAAATCGTCTAATAGAATTTGTCCATCTCCCATAATTAGGTACGGTGTAATTAACCCTGTGTCAGTAGACGTGAAAGACTGGTCAGAATCTCCACTGGGATGATCAGTGACCAAAGCGATCGTAAAACTTTGTCCACTAATTAATTACGGGACGGGGTCAGTCAGTCTTCTCTTTCCCATTCTTGTCCCGTTGCCAAGCATGTTAATAAGTTAATAATAAATATTATACATGCAAAACAGAGAACGACATATCATCCTGGGATATCGATAAATTATATTTTAGAGTCTTTTAACTGTCTGCACTGCGTATTAACAGTTTCTTTAAAAACGCCCAGTGTTAGACAACAGCCCTAAAATCTATCTTTAAGTTGAATAAAGGGAAACTCAGAAGAACTATAAAGTATTTTGTTTTTGAGAGAGAGAGAGAGAGAGAGAGAGAGATGGGGTTTAACGTCCACTCAACACAAAACTAGGTCATTTCGGGACTAACATATGGTTCAATTTTATTTCAATAATTCGCTTGCGCATAGGTGTCTTGAGCAGTGGGAGGAAACCGGAGGACCCGGAGAAAACCCACGAAGTTGGACAGGCGACCCTACTCCTTGTCACGTACAACCGGAGATTCGAAACCACGCCAGTCGACTCAATGACAGACTTTATGATACAGCGCGCGCACGCTAACCATTCAGTCACCCCCCTCCCCCATTTTGATTTTGAGTAAATAGCTGATTATGAATCAACACAGTTGTAATATCTGACGATATCACTTTAATTTATAGAGGTATTTTTTGGCAGTGCCCAGACAAAATATTTATTACAAAGGGGTGGGCACTGACGTTAAGATTCTTCAAATAAATGGCTGTATTTCCAGAATTTACTGTTATTCAAATTCCTATCCAAACACAGTTCCATGTTGCCGACGATTGTTACAGGTTTAACTGACTCGATTACAAACCCAGATCGTCCATCAACCATAATTTAAAAAAAAGGTGATCACTTTCAACAGGAAAATAAAATTAATTAATTTTATGTCATGTCACAATTGAAATAACCACACACGCCTAATATAATCGACAATACAACTGACCATTGTAGACAAGAAAAACAAAATCGTCCGTAAAACTTGTTAAACCATCCATAACTTTCCAAAATTTTCTCGTATACACGAACGCCCTGAAGAACAAAACAACATAAAAAGAACACTTTTATCATTCTCTAAATTACCCCAGACTACACTAACGTTAATCTTGAACTGGAAACACGAAGATGGTAAATACATATATAAATAGCCATATAACACTCATAGTTTAGGTGAAATGAAATGGGGTTTAACGTCCTACTGTTCTGCTCCGAACTGACCTAATGAAGACGGGCATAGGCCATACAGTGTGCTATGAGAGAAATTTTGCGCGGACAGCGGCACTACGGCCTACTCTTATATCGAATTCAAACTGTCAAGGGATCTTTTACGGTTTTTCGTGCCATCCGAACGACTAGACAGCTGTCCTTGTCAGGCACTCAGTCCTGCATCACTGACAAGGGAGAACCACACCGGAAAATGAACTTTCTCGACCAATGCAGGCATCCCCTGCAAACACCACAGAGGGTAATGATTAAACTGTTTCGAATCCTTTTTGTTATAAGATCCCTGCCCCTCCAAGAAAACTCGTTGTTACGATTGCAAGATAGTAAAGACCCCGGCCCAACTGTACAAAATAAAGTACAGATTTGGGTCGAATTGTCCATTCAACTACAATGTAAACTACTATCTAAGGGCGATAACTTTCAGAAACTGAGGGGGGGGGGTAGCCGAATGGTTAGCACGTGCGTGTTGTATCATAAAGCCCGTCATTGAGTCAACTGGCGTGGTTTCGAATCCCCGGTTGTACGTGACAAGGAGTATGGTCGCATGTCCAACCTCTTGGGTTTTCTCCGGGTCCCCCGGTTTCCTCCCTCTGCTAAAGACCCCTACGCGCAAGCGAATTATTAAAATAAAGTCCGAAATGACCTAGTTTGTGTCGAGTGGACGTTAACCCCATTTCTCTCTCTCTCTCTCTCTCTCTCTCTCTCTCTCTCTCTCTCTTCAGAAACTGAAACAGACATTCATAAAATAAAGGAGGATTTTAAAATTAATTAAGATCCTTGAACATCCCAGTCATGGCAGGTTTGATATTTAAACAATAAAACAATGAGTAATTCTATTTATCAGGGGATTTTAGAAATTCTTTAAATATTACTTACATATCCCAACTCTACTAAAACTTATACTCTTGTAATGAACACAACGAACAGTTTTAATGTGTTGGCTGATATTTAACTAATTAACATTCAGAAAGTCAAAGACTAACGGAGAATAATAAACAGTTAATGAGTTACGGCCATTCAGTAATCCATGCTCTATAAAGAATATGGTCCTAGACGGAACGGAGAGACAATTTGCAAGTAAATATTTAAGCTATGTTCAGTGGAATTGAACGGTAGACACTATTGGTCTTGATTTATGCCCTACACATGGCAGCTACGCTCCATGAGAATAGTCCCGCCGTTTATGACTCTTCAAGTTGGCAGTCGCCTGACTTTGTTTATGGCCAAACAGATGAAGATAGAGAGAAAAGTTATTCAGCTAGAATGTTTGTAGATACTAAGATCTATTCCGCATTCGGATATAGTACCACATACTTTAGTTAAAATGTCAAGTCAGGCAATAAATTCTTGACAATAGTAGAAATCTTTTACATTCCGGCTCTACAGGTAGTTTTGATCTTGTATATTGGAATTAATAGGTATTTTTAAAAATAAATAGTAAAAATAGAACAAAAATTTCCAAAAGCGCGATAGAAGCAAAAGCGTATAAGTTCTTGGGGATATAACGGTTAGTATTTAATACTCTTCAACCACGGAATAACAGGAAAGTACATGTACATACAGTCATGGGGATTGAACGGTTGGTATCAAATGTCCTCCAAATACGGAGTACAAGGTTTTTGTTATCAAATGTTTACCAAATACGGAATAACTGCAAAGTATTTTAGGTCATGGGTATAAAACAGTTCATATTAAAAATATCTTATACCACCACAACGACACATCATTAAATATACATTATGGGAGTTTCGATAACGAGTTGGCAGTTCTCACTATAACAGTTAAAAACTAGATAATGTAAAGGCAATTTACTGAAAATTTCATTCAAATTGATCCACTATGAACCTAGAACAAAGCGATTGAATTTCCGCCTAGCCTTGACCATCATTACTAAAGTCAGTACGATAAACAGCATAATCTCGATTATCCATTTAATCGTTAAATCGTGAAGGAAAGTTATGCAGTAAATCGGGTCATAATCCACTAAAGATGCCATCTAGAGTTGATTATGGTCTGGATAGGTTAATTAATGTCTAATTAATAATTTAGATAACATTTCAGGCCTTAAGAAAGACCTGCAATAGACAGATTTAGCTCTTACATAATGTATGTTTAATTAACACCAATGTAGTTTTTTCTCTCCCTTTCCAATGCCGAGTTTATTGAGCTTTTGGTATAGAATTGAATTAAAATTTCCTCTACGGTTTGATGAATATTCATGTTTGGTAGACAGAGTGTGTATCTAAAGGTTTATTTGATGGCTTCTTCATGAGCTCAGTTGAAGCAGAAAATTAGGAGCTTAAACTCCATGCCGTTTCATTTCACATTTTAAGAAAGTGTCAACCCAAATTTCGCAACAACCCGGAACTAAATCTTCCTTAATATAAATAGCTGATCACCTTTTTTTTAAAATAAA